CTTTGTTGCACAACTTGATACTGAACGAATGTTAAGTAGATGATATAAAGCTAACAACCAACTAGGTTCAGAACGCCAATGGATATATTTCTTAGAAGCTGTCACTTATTTGAATGAATTTTTAAATATTAAAATCTAAAGTAAGGGTTGGGGAGATAGCTCAGTAGAATAGCACTTGCCTGACAAGCAAAAGGTTCTGAGTTCAATCCCTGGTATTGGAAAAAAAAAAAAAAAAAAAAAAATCCAGAGTAAATCTTAAGAAAAGGCCTTACCTGTTCACCTGCCTCTTGAAACTCTTTGCAAGCATCAGGGAACACATCATAAATAATGAGGGGATAACCATGTTTCATTAGATTTTTTGCCATTGGATTTCCCATGTTACCCACTCCAATGAATCCAACTGGAGTCTTAGAAGCCATTGACCTAGAAGCAACTGATACCAATATATTACTTTCAATAAGGGCAAATAACATAGTTATTATAAACATTTTTATAAAATAATAAGTCAATACTATTCAGAAGTTTTCTATAAAAGAAAAATTTTAAAAGCTAATTTTAAAATTAATAACATTTAAAGGTATCAACAATGTACAAACAGATTAGCCTGTAATTAGTTTTTTTAAAAACATTAAAATTTTAGGCAATCTTTCTTTTCTTACTTTAATTTTATTTTATGTATTTAGTACAGAGTCTACAGGGTCTCACTACATAGATCAGACTAATAGTGATTCTTCCATTTTCAGCCGCCCAAGATCTGGGATTACAGGCATGCGCCACCATGCCCAGTCTCAATTCCGCCTCAGCATGCCCCAGGGGCAGGGCTGGCACTGCATGCTGGGGACTAAACCTTGGTCCCTACATCTTTTTTTTTTTTTTCTATATTGCCCCTCAACTATTTTTAACAGTAAACTCAAACTCAATAATGTTATCATTTATAAAACACATCTTACATAAATTACCTATTATGCGATATATTTGGATTTCTTATACCTATATTATCTCATTTTTTAAAGATGTCTAACACACTGAAAGACTGCGCCCAAGAATTAGGAATCTTTTCATCCTCCCTCTCCCAGTTATAGAAACTATCCCCTCCACTACCATAAAAACAAATATTGGGCTGGGGCTGTAACTTGGCAGTAGAGCAGGTACTCAGCATGTACAAGGTTCTGGGTTCAATCCCAGCACTACCAACCCCCCCAAAAAAACTCAGTAGTATGTTAACCCCCAAAGAACATATTTCAACTAGTTATCATTCTATAAATGTAGTCCTAGAGAAAGGAAGGAATGCTTCCATAGCCTTTAGTGACAGTATGTAGGCTTTGATCAAACATTACACTTTTAGAAAAAGTGTGAAAGAAAGAAAGGGGGAAGGAAAAGGAAGAGAGAGGAGGGGAGAAAAAGAGAGGAAGGAGGGAGGGGGAGAAGGGAGAGAAAGAAATAAAGAAAACCCCTTAAAGCTTTATATAAGATTTGGCTTTTTCTTCCTTATAAGAATTTTCAAAACCACACTGGGGAACACAATTTCAAAGTAATGTGCTAGAACATAAGAAAGCTTTATAATACCATAAAAATAACATTAGATACAATCTCCCAGTTTTTAGAACAAACGTTGCTCAACAAATATTTACTGCCTGAAGCACTTACAAAGCTTAGAGACAGATAGCAAAACATGTTCCTTTCCCTTGAAGGAAAGCTCATAATCTAGTGAAGGAGAAATACCTTCACTAGCCCTTTCACTTGTCAGCTTTATTTTTCCTTTCTTCACAGAATCCAGTTTTCTTTTGTTGTTGTTGTTGATCATTTTATTTATTTATTTAGTACAAGGTCTTGCTATGCAGCTCAGACTTGTAGTGATCCTCCTGTGTCAGCCTCCCTAGCACTGGGATTACAGGTGTGCACCACCATGCCCAGTTTTGGGGTGGCACAGCACACCCAGGGTTCAGGAGCCAGCACAGCACAAGACACCAGGGGTTCAACATGGGTCCTTGCACTGGCCAGGCAGGCCCTTAGACCACCGAACTATCTCCCCAACCCTCTACTACTATAAAAACAAATATTGGGCTGGGGCTATAACGTGGCAGTAGAGCAGGTACTCAGCATGTACAAGGTTCTGGGTTCAATCCTAGCACTACCAACTGCCCAAAAAAACTCAGTAGTATGTTAACCCCCAAAGAATGTATTTCAACTAGTTACCATTCTATAAATGTAGTCCTAGAGGAAGGAAGGAATGAATCAGCAGATGAACTGTTGTTAGAAGAAAAAACATGAGGCCGGGGAGATGGCTCAATGGAATAAGCACTTTCCTGGCAAGTGCAAGAGCCTGAGTTCAATCCCCAGTTCCGAAAAAAAAAAAAAAAAAAAAAGGAGGAGGAGGAGGAGGAAGAAGAAGAAAAAAAAACATGAATGCAAGAAAACCTAAAGTTAACAGAAATTTTCTATGTCAGAGACAGTGGACCTTTTAGAGCTTTCAATGATACAATCAGCACATGTGCCATAAGTTCATCAGCACTGCTCTAGACTTCCTTTCTGCTGTTATAAAATATCCCACAGACTGCTTGGCTTAAGCAGTACATATTTATTTCTTACAGTTCTGTAGGCCAGGACGTCCAAAATGAAGGTAATCAGGGTGGCAGCACATCAGTGTCTGATGAAAGCCACTTCCTAGCCTGTGGAAGGCAATTTTTTTACTGTATTCACATATGGCAGAAAGTGAGAACAAGCACTTATCACTTTTCCTCAGAAGGGCACTAACCCAAAGATTTGGTTCTTTGAAAGAATAAACAAGATTGATAAACCCTTAGGCAAACTTATGGGGAAAAGAAGAAAATCTCATATCAATGCAATAAGAAATGGAAAAGTTGGGCCAGGGAGATGGCTCAGTGGAATAGGCGCTTCCCTGGCAAGCGCAAGGGTCCGAGTTCAATCCCCGGTTTTGTACAAAAAAAAAAAAAAGAAAAAGAAAGAAAGAAATGGAAAAGTTGAAATCACATTAAACACCACTGAAATTCAGAGGATTTTTAAGAAACTACTTCAAGAACTTACATCGAACGTGGAAGAAATGGAGAAATTCCTAAACACATATGAAATACCAAAACTGAACAAACAAGATATAACTGGCAACAAAAGAGAAGCAATAATAAATACAAAAAAAAAAAAAAAAAAAAAAAAAAGCTCAGTACCCAGTGGTTTCATCATATAATTGTACCAGAACTTTAAGGAAGAGCTAATGCCAATATTCTACAAACTCTTCAACGAAACTGAAAGGAAAAGAGTGCTGTCATACTCATCCCATGCATTATCCTGATACCAAAACTAAAGAAGGATCTAACAAAAGAAAACTATAGGCCAATCTCCTTAATGAATACAGATGCAAAGCTCTTCAACAAGATATTAGCAAAAGAATACAATAAATCAGTAAAAAAAATCATATAAGTACATCATAATCAAGTAGGCTTCATCTCAGAGATGCAAGGATGGTTTAACATATGTAAATCAATATCTTATATAATAATATAACTGTATAAATAAATGTAATACAATACATCATACAAACAGGAGCAAGAATAACAATCACATGATCTGCCTTTGACAAAATCCAACATCCACTGAAGATAAAAAATTCTTGAGAAAAATAGACATAGAAAAAATTTATGGGCTGGTGAGATGGCTCAGTGGTCTAAAGCACCTACTTAGAACAAGCTTAGCAAAGCACAAGGACCTCGTTTCACTCCCCCAGCACCACATGCCTGCCAGCCCGCCCCCTGGTGGGCTGAGCTGGCCACACACACACATAAATAAATAAATAAATAATTTAAAAAAAAAAAAAAAAAAAGAAAATTGACTGAAATATTTTTAAAAAGAAAGAATTTATTTTAGGGCCGGCCTGATAGCTCAGCGGACTAAAGCGCTGGGATTCGCTCCCCAGTGGCCTGTGGTGCCGCCCCGCCCCCAGGGCATGCTGAGACAGTAATGATGACTGGGCATGGAGGCATGAGCCTGTAATCCCAGCACTTGGGAGGCTGAAAACAGGAGAATCACTATGAGTCTGATCTATGTAGTGAGACCCTATAGACCCTGTCCTAAATATAGGAGGAAAAAAAAGGAACTTAAACTAGAGGTTATTTATGACTAACTCATTGCCAACATCACACTAAATAGAGAAAAGCTTAAAAGTTTTTAAAATCAGGAAGATTAGGGCCAAACAGCTCAGCAGATTAAAGCACCTGCAAGCAGGTACAGGGACCAAGGGTTCAATCCCCAGGCCTACCGTGCCAGCCCTGTTCCTGGGGCCTGCTGAGACATTGACTGAGACTGGGCGTGGTAGCATGCTCCTGTAATCCCAGCACTTGGGAGGCTATAAACAGGAGAATCACTACAAGTCCAATCTAGTATTGAGACCCTGAACACCCTGTAGACTCTTTCCTAAAATAAAAAATAAAAATATTTAGCTAGAGCAATCAGGCAAAAGACAAACATACAGGAAAGGAAGAAGCCAAACTATCCTTATTCACAGATGACATGATCCTTAAACAGACAACCCAAAAAACGCCACCAAAAGATTTCTAGATCTAATTAAAGCAATTCAACAAAGTAGCAGGATACAATATAAATACACAAAAATCATTAACATTTCTGTATATCAACAATGAACTGACCAAAAAAGAATTAGAAAAACAGTAGTTTTGGGTCGGGGAGATGGCTCAGTAGAATAAGTGTTTGCCTGGCAAGCGCAAAGGGCCTGAGTTCAATCCCCAGTTCCACCAAAAAAAGAAAGACGGTAGCTTCAAAAAATGAAAATACCTAGGCATTAATTTAACCAACATGGTGAAAAACTTCAATAATGAAAACTACAGTAACCTGAAAAAAGAAATTGAAAAGGTCATCAGAAAATAGGAAGACCTATTTCTGGATAGGTAGAACTAATACGGTTAAAACTATATTAACAAAACTGATACAAACATTTAAAGCAATATCTATCAAAATACCAACAACAGCCACCGCTTCCGACTGCATCTGTCCCGCTCACTGCCGCCCACCAGCTGCCAGAATGCCGAACTGGGGAGGAGGCAAGAAATGTGGGGTGTGCCAGAAGACAGTTTACTTTGCCGAAGAGGTCCAGCGCGAGGGCAGCAGCTTCCATAAGTCCTGCTTCCTGTGCATGGTCTGCAAGAAGAATCTGGACAGCACTACTGTGGCTGTGCATGGAGAGGAGATTTACTGCAAATCCTGCTACGGCAAGAAGTATGGGCCAAAAGGCTATGGCTATGGGCAGGGCGCAGGCACGCTGAGTACTGACAAGGGAGAAACCCTGGACATCAAGCATGAGGAGGCCCCTGGCCACAGACCCACCACTAACCCCAATGCGTCCAAGTTTGCCCAGAAGATCGGAGGCTCTGAGCGCTGCCCTCGATGTAGCCAGGCAGTCTATGCTGCGGAGAAGGTGATCGGGGCTGGAAAGTCTTGGCATAAATCCTGCTTCCGATGTGCCAAGTGTGGCAAAGGCCTCGAGTCAACCACACTGGCAGACAAGGATGGTGAGATTTACTGCAAAGGATGCTATGCTAAAAACTTCAGGCCCAAGGACTTTGGCTTTGGACAAGGAGCTGGGGCCTTGGTCCACTCTGAGTGAGGCCGCCCACCACTGCCTGCTGCACCCGCCCTCTCATGCTTTCCAGTGCCATTTCCTTCCCAGCCACCATGGAGACCACCAGGATTCTCTCACTCAGCCCTGCTGCACATCACTAATGACTTGAACTTGGGCATCTGGCTCCCTGTGGTTTGGGGGGTCTGCCTGAGCTCCTGTCCCACTAAGAAGCGTCCCCTGCCTTGCATCTGACACCATCATCAGTTAAAGACACCTGTCTCTGTAGTGTTAAGTGGGACCAGGCCCTTTCCCCACACCTCACTCTTCAGAGCCTGGCCTCTTCCATGTTGTCAACAGGACTCCTGAGCTCCCCTGTTGAAGTCCACAGGAACAGACAGCAGTGACCAGCAGGGGGTGGGATGGGGAGCAGGGTCAAGATGGGAGGAGGGGATGTTTTGGTGTATTGGATCCCAGAGACTCTCCTCTGAGAAAGAGGGTGGGGCTCCTTGAGGCTCCTCAGAAGACGTCTGAGGACTCCCTGCTCAGAAGTCACAAGATCATTGGCCACAGCCCTTGCTGCTCCAGCCCTCTTGCCTTTGAGCCACTGTGGAACTGGATCCTTCCATTTGAGATTAGAGAACAACCCAGGTGTGGGAACCCCAAAGTTGGGAGGTTGCCTGACCTCAGTCACTAGTTCCTGGTTTGATGGGGGAGATTATGTGAAACACTTTCAAGCCACATTTGCATCTGTCAGTGGTCCAAAGCCTAAGGTGGTTAGCCCTGGCCCTAACCTAGGGTCTGAAGTTACAGGGAGTGCAGCCCAGATCAGTGCTCTGCTCTAGCCATGCCTGGTGATTATTCCTCAGATGTAGAGGGAGGCACACTCACCCTTCACCTTCTAATGCCCCATCTATCCCACGCTTCTCTGGGGGCCTTCTCTAGCCACAAAGCCTCCTTCCTTATAGAACCCAAGTCAGGAGCCGCAAGAGGAAGGAGGTGGGCCCTGCTCTCTTCTCGCAGTGGCTGAAAGGAACACTGTAGCTGTCAAATGCAAGGGCCATGGGCACAGGCTGATTTTTCTTCTGGTCAATAAAGCTGTTTAAAACTGAAGAAAAAAAAAAAAAAATACCAACAACACTTTTTACAGAACTAGAAAAAAACAATCCTAAAATTTATATGAAACCAGAAGAACGAAAAATAAAGAAATACAAATAGCAAATGCATTTATGGGCAACAAAAGCAAAGTAGGAGACACCACAATCCTATATTTCAAGTTATATTTCAAAGCTATGGTGATAAAAGCACAGTTCTGGCACAAAAACAGATATGCACATCAGTGGAACCGAACAAAAGTTGTAGGAAAATCTCAGGCACATTCAGCCATCTCATCTTTCACAAAAGTGCTAAATATGTAAAATTATGCTGGAGAAAGGACAGCCTCTCTAACCAAAGGTGCTGAAAAACTGGTTTTAACATGCAAAAGAATAAACCGAGTCCTCTATCTCTCTATCTCTCATTCTATCTAAAATGATACCAACATGTATTGAGTGCCTAGATATTAAAGTAGAAACACTAAATCTGCTGAAAAATAAATTAATTTTAAAAATACAAAAAAAAAAGATCTGAGAATTAAAAATACAAGCATAGGCAAGGACTTTCTGAACAGAACCTCCAGTGCACAAGAAATAACAGAAATGAACAAATGCGGATTACATTTAAATTGAAAAGCTTTTGCCCAGCAAAGGAAACAACCAATAAAGTGAAGAAACTACTCACTTTGCCAGTTACTCCTCAGACAGAAGGCTAATATCTAAAATATATAAAGAACTCAAGAAAGTAAATATCGGGGCTGGAGAGATGGCTCAGTGGTCTAAAGCACCTATTTAGAACAAGCTTAGCAAAAGCATCAGGGACCGCGGTTCAATCCCCCAGCACCACATGCCAGCCAGCCC